AAGGGCAGCCACATAACACACAGCCTGTGCTGCACAAGCTGTTGAGTTTCTTGAAGAAACTAAGGTACCCAAAACCATTATCTGATGTTCTCGATTCAGTTCTCTAATGGGGCATGTGCAGCAACACTGCCTGCTGCCCAGAAACGCTGCTGGGAGAGCTTTGTGTGGTTGTGCTAAACTATGCTCCTGTGGCTCCACCGTTGCCTTCTTGAAGCTATTTAGCCAGCAGTTTTATTTTTCTAGACTCTCATATTTCATTACTCAAATATTACAAAGTTGTTGTTAAAACTCGGTTTATTAAAGGTTAACATAATTGAATGCCTTTTAAAGTACAGCCACAGCATGAATAATTGTATCCTGTGCATATTACAGAAGTCAGGAATTTAAGGTTAAATAGCTGTTTCAAAAAAATGTTTAACTATACTATAATTTCCTCTGTAAATTAATAAAATGAAAAGGGTTTTGTTTCAGAAACTCACTGACCTTACAGTAGTATCTTGAATAAGAAACTCAGAGTCCAAAATAGAAATCAAATGCTTGTTTAGTGAAGTTAATTTTGTCACTGAGTAACTCTAATGGCTGTGCTGCTTCTGTTTTAGAACCATTGTGGCACTGGTATACAATGTGCTGAAAACCCTGATGGAAATGAATGGCAAGCTTTTTGATGAACTCACAAGCTCATACAAAGCAGAAAGGCAAAGGTACAGGTTCTTTTTTCAAATGCCCGTTGCAGATTGTGCCTCGAAGGTGTAATTTCAGATGTTACTTTGCTGTTGTGCCTGTGGGGTTCTGTAGTGGAACTGCTCACCAGATGTCCCTTGTGTGACGCTCCCATGTGCAGTGATGTGGTGGGAGCTGAAGGCCCAGGAAGTCCCCAGCTCCTCATCCTGCCTGTGCAGGGAGCACGTGCTCTCCTGTGTGGTGAAACTGGGCTCAGCTGCTGCTGGCTCTGCTGCCTCAGGGGTGTCTGAAGAGAGCTTAGCTGGAGAATGCCTTCTAGCTCAGCAAAAACATCTTACCCTACTAACCTACTGAGCAGCACTGCTGGAGTAAGGGAGGCAGGGTGTGTAGGTTATCCTTGGCCAGCTGAGACCACATGCCAAGTATCCTTTCAGTAGCTGTGTTCTTCTCCCCTCCTAATGCTTAGTCCCTTAATTTGTTTGCATGTGATAAAGAGGCTTCTTAGAACTGCAGCTGTCTGTGCAAGGCCACACTACAGCAATTGTCTGCGTTTGGTGGAGCAAAGCTACAGTTTCACCACTAACTATTACTGATTTGTATGCTCACTTTTTAATTGAGGAAACTGTGTGATGATTTCCTCTAAAAATAAGCTTTGGAGAAAAACTTGTAAGAGGAATTAGATGTAAACAACAGTTAAGTTACTGCATTTCCAGATTGTGCTTAAAACACATCTGAAATTGATCCTTCACTCTTTTCTACAGAGAGAAAAAAAAGGAATTGGAACGTGAAGAGTTGTGGAGAAGGCTAGAGGAGTTAAAGCTTAAGAAGGCGATGGCAGAAAAGCAGACTCACAACGTGCTCAATGCACATAATACAAGTGCCAAATAAAAGAAATGACCACCTCTACTCGGCAGACATTCTTTTTTTGTACCCTTTTGAAATATATAAGGATTTGCAAAAGAAACCTCATCAGTATAATAGAAACAGCCAATTTTGTTCTCTGGCAATTGTAAGGATTTGAATTTAAATACAGCAGTTAAGTGATGTCATTACCACAGCATATTGTAAATTTGTCTAATTATTGATAGACTGTCACTTCCAACGTTTCATAGAACTGAATTATCATCCTTAATGAGTGAAATAATTATGGGAGTGGTGAGAATTATGACTTGAATTTTTGATTGTGTTGCACATAGGTGGTATAGTTTGCTATGTACACATTTTTCTTTGTTTTGTATGTGCTTTTCACATTGCTGCATACTTTGGTTAAGATGATAGAAAAGGCTTCTAATTGTGCTGTATTTTCTCAAATAAAACCAAGGTACGTTACCAGTAACTTGAGATACTCAGTATGTGCCCCTTACAGCATTGAAAGGAACTCGGATACAGTGCTGTCCTTGAATTCCTGATTGGAGTCAGATTTAGATTGATGTAACGCTCACATTAGAAGGAGGCAAGGTAGGGAGAGAGTCAGTGGCAACAGATTGGGGTGGCCAGTGCCTCTACCCCATTGTTGCTGTGTCTTGGTCCTGGGCTAGTTAGGGATTTCCTCCTGCTACAGCTGAGGATGGAGCTTCCTCTAGAGAGCCCATCAATGATGCTCCTCATCAGCCCAAGGACCCTGCAGCTTACTGCAGGTCTCTCTCACAGACTATCTTGGATGTTTCTGTGTTAGTTTTAGCATCTCATGGACTGAAGAAGAGACCAAAATTGGCATTATTTTTTTTTTAATAGTAAAGAAGAAAGTGAATGTCAAGAAATAGTTCCTTGTTTTCTTTAAAGAAAATGCAGTCTGTTTCTTAAAGGTGGAAAGCTGACAATAGAAGTCTTGTCTGTTTACTTGATCAAGTATTTTTCACATCTTTTATCAGAGTACCATTCCAATCTCTTAAATTGCAGTTGTGTGGAAAAATTTTGTAATGAAAGATCTTTGGGGAATTGAGCAGCGTTCAATAAAGTCTTTATGTTTGTATTTAGTGCTGTACCTCACATCTTTGTGTTTCTGAAGACCAGGAGAATTAGAATGGCTGTTATGAACAACCTTCTTAAGTGCTCAAGTCTCTGACTAACCTGAGGCTTTTCACCGAGTGGCAGAAGTGTTGGAGGCACAGGCTCCTGGGGATTTGGTTTTGGTGAGTAGGGTGGAAGGCTTGGCTCTGCTCCCTGGTGGTGAGAACAGCTGAGGCAGGTGTCCTGTGTGGCTGGTTTACTGACACTAATCGAGGAGTTTCCGGGGCTGCCAGAGTCTTTGCTACACTGTTTGAGTCGACTTCATGACACTTTTATTGTTGCTTCGTTTTTGCTTCTTAAGTAATTGTTTCACAGAGGGATATGGGACTGGCACTACCTGAAGGGGTTTACACTTCCAGCAGCTGTCAGATCAAAACCAATTAATTGCTACTTTCTGACTGTCAGTTTTATATAGAAGGGTAGACCCTGCCATGGGAGCTGGTTGCCCGAAATTTGAGGGGAAGGGAGAGGAGGAATCCTTTACCTTTCATAGTGCTTTCTTCTTGAAGGGAGAGGACCATCACACAGGCACAGCTCACCTCAGTTTAGTGCTTCAGTGCCTTTTTGTACTTAGAAGAACAAACCCCTAAATTTGTGACACAAAGTATTTTCAGCTGTCCTATGGCCTAAAGGAAAGAACTTACATGAATGTTGGGGAACTGAACACCTTGCAGTGATAGGAGGAAATCACTGACATTTGTAATTGTTACAAGTTGCTCAAAGAGTTACAAATATGGACATCAAGCTTAAGTAATACAAAAACAACACAGTAGCTGTAAGAGGCCTTTCCAAATTGTGCAACCTTTGCAGTTATAATCAGTCCTATAAATAGGTATGTAAAAGAAAGGTTTCTTGGCTGGGACTGTCGGGCCTGCTCTTGTAACAACATTTCCTTATAAAACAAAACATCTTGACAGCTGAGATGTAGTGACTGAAGTGGACTGCTGTGGGAATTTACGGGGGGGCGGGGGGGAGAAGTAGATACTGCAGAAAGGAGTGTATCCTTTATTTAATGACACCTCCTACTCACCCCCCAGATGTGGTTAAGTGTCTTCCACCTTATCTTCTCTGTGCACAGGGGCAAGGAAAGAAGAAAAAACACAGTAGGATCCAGCAGGAGGAGCAGCATCCATCAGTACCTGATCTAATTGTTGTTTCTAAATGCTTTTCTAAAATCCAAGAAAGAGCTGCTATAATATTACTTGTTAAAGAAACACTTGGGTGTTTCTTTCACACTGAGGAATCAAGCTCAGTTGTGTCTCTCTTACAGTGCTGAGGGCCTGGTCCCTGGATATTTGGGAAAGTACAGGGCTATAAGCTGACTGGGGAAGTAAGTGGACTGCTCTCCTACCGGCACAGGCCGGTATGTGGCAAAAGCAATGGGGTATTTCTTGATGTGGATGGTCTAAGGGTGTGTGGGGGGGTTATCCACAGCCCTCGCCTGGTTTCTGTCCTATTCCCCACCATTCAGCAGCGAAGGAGTAGCTCAGTTGGCTTCAACGGTGCAGTTAAATCTCATTCCTTGCTGTGCACTTCGCTGACCTGTCTCAGCTGAAGTCCTGAACAGGAGCTGAGCACCACCTTTCTCACACACAAACATTTTTCTCCCAAGCAGCCAGTGCTGCTGTTTTGTTTATCTCGCTACAATGAGTTGTTGTTCCCTTGTTTAAGGCTGTGTTTGGTCAATGCAGTGCCTTGATTTGCTCGGGGAATCATCTGAAAGTAGTAAACTTTGTTCCAAAAGAATAAAGAAGCCGAAAAAGAAAGGAAAAAAGCTGAGGGGATACTTTTGATACACTAGCTTATTCCTCTGTTAATACTGTTAGAAGAGGAAGGAAGAAGCAAAATATGACTTGCCATCCTTGCAGCAAAGCCTTCAGAGCAAGCACACTGGTGCACTGCTGCCCTGTAGACTCCACAAGTCCAAGTCTGGCATCTCAGCTAACACAGGACTTATAAGGAAGAAAAAGACACCACCACCCCAGCACAGTTAGTTAGCAGTCATTCCCCTTAAAATAGAGAATCACGTTTCAATACCCTGCTGATGAAAGACTGTTTTTCACAACCTTAGCAAAGACTGGAGGGGAAAGAGGGATAAGGAACAGCCTGAGACAGACTTTGAAATCGACCATCCACTCAGCCCCCCAATTTCTTATGTTGCTTGACTTTCCTTTGAGTTGGACTGATCAGGAATAGCTCTTCTTCTTTTTTTACCTTATTGTGCAGTAACACTCCTGCCTGGACTGCCTCCTGTAAAGCTCCAGCTGAATGTGAGAACAGGTAATTTCAAAGAAGGTACACAGTATCTCATTTGAAATTTTTTTTTTAATATTAAAGTCACTATACTTTAAATCAAAAATGACATGTAATAGAATTCCAGTGTGTTTTGTTTTAAAACATACTTTGGAGAAGGGAGGCCAGGCTGTTTTTAGAGTACTTTACCTTCTTCTAAGCACAGTCAGGGCAGTGACTGTGCTGTGGTAGCAGGTGCAGCTCTCAGCTCATGCAGAAGTTAAGTGGTCTGTGTGAGAAGTGCTCAAACTCTGTCCACTTTATCACCATTTACTACAGCACTGAATTTCTGAACGTGGGTGAGTTCTCTCCTTTTCCCCATACCTTGAGGTAAAGTTGTTAAATTGGGAATAGAAAAGCACGAGTTTGTTAGACCTGTCCTAGAGTTAGCTCCTTGCTGAAGTTCAAAGGCCGGTTCACTAGGCTGTTCCTCCAGCCGTTGTCTTTCTGGCAGAAAACATACCCAGTTTGCAGCTTTCATTGCTGATTGAAGTTTATTCCAGTTACTTTCTACTCCTCCTGCTATGAATATTAAAAGGCAGCCTTAGTCTCAGCTTATGTGGTTCATTACTTGACGACTCCTCTTCAGATGTCTTTTTCGGATTTTGATCATCCACTTAACGCTTAACTTAGCAAAGTCTGCTGCCTTAAACAGAGCCAGAAAGATGCCACAAAGAAGAGCAATCATGTTCCAGGGGTTCGCTGTGATAATCTGAAAGAGATGAAAAATACTAGTCCCCTCATCTGATTCATCACATATTACACCTATGAAACAACCAACAGTTCCATTTTCCTAAATAAAGTTAGGTGCTCCACTTTGCAGCATATTCCTTGATGCTGCAAAGGTTGCCTGTAGTGCCCTCTCTCCACATTATGGTTTTCTGATTCCTTCCAGGAGGAAGAAAACACACTATACTAGCTGCTAAATTCCTTTTAGTCTATTTCAAAATATTATTTTTAAACTTAAGGGGTACAGTTAAATTGCTAATTTTAAAATTATAGATTAAACTTACTGTATTATTTAAATATTTACAAAAAGAAGCAGTCACATGGAAGAAGAACTTCCAGAAGACAAAGGTAGGAAAAGCAGCTACTGGAAAGCTTTACCAAGATACCATTATAGTGCTAAACCAGCTTTTGATCTACAGCAACTATTTTGTATTTTTTACTACGTTTGTTCAAGAATAGTTAAATTTATTTATAGTTTGGAATTCTCCTTGCTCCTCTAGACACAAGAAGGGTGTCTAGGGACTTCTAGGGACCCTGATGAAGCAGGCAGAGCTCGGCTGAACCAGCAATGAACAGGCAGGATCCACTTTGGGACCAGCCAGCACAGTGTCAGTAGGTCATGCCCCTCAACCAGGTCTTATGCAGGCTTTCCATATTTGTTAATCTTCCTGAAAGCTGCCAGTGCTTGTGACCTGTGGCCTCCAGCACCAGGAAATGAGTACCCCCCCAAGCCACTAGATCAAGGGCAGCTTTCAGCTGGAAGGTGGCAGAGGTGTGAGGGATGAGAGGTCTGGGAATAAGATTGGGCTCTCAAGGCCAAGGAGGTGTCTGGGTCCAGCACAGACAGGACAGCACAGTCTGCATTCACATGGTTTTTGGGCAGGAAAACAGGAACACTGTGGATTTTGCTGCTGGACCTTGGTTGTCAGGCAGGATAATTTCAAATGCAAAGTGGATTCACTGCACACTTTTGCCACTCCACGTTTTTCTGGGGAGGGCACATGTATCTGATCTTCTCCCCTAGAACACTTGGAAAACAAGCTCTGGATGAAATGCTTACAGCACATGTACCTGCAGAGTTCATCTTTCAAGCGCTCCAGGGATGGATCGTGGTGTAGGCACATCATGTCTGGCATATCCTACACCTCTGGCTGCAGCATATTTAGCTAATTTTTGTACATTTAAATACAGTTTTGTACATTTAAATACAGTTTTGCACATTTAAATACAGTGCCAAATTTTATTCTAATAATGGATAAAAAATATATTAGGCTATTTTTAGTATAGGTTTCTTGTTTGTCAATAATTTAAAAAAGTCATAAATTCATTATTCAAGCACACTTATTTAAGCAAAAAGTTCTGTGTTGAGCTGAAACTACACTTTGCTAGAACACGGGGTACATGGGCTTTTCTGAGCTATGTGTACCTCTACCTGCAAGCAGAATGCTGAGAGTCACCAACCCAAGGGAAGGCATCAGATGGTCCCGACCTCCACAGAGTATGCATTACTGGATATAAGGAAGAGCATAGCCTGAAATTTCAGAAGTAACCTCACTCTTCCTCTGCATTTCTGCTTGGAGTGAGGTAACAGAGGCAAGTGTGTGCACATACAAACCATGAGACAGCAATTCACATGAGGATTAGGGTGTTACTCACGTCCTGAACCGTCTGTATAAAAGGATCTTTCCACTCAAATACCACAAAAAACAGCTGGTCACTTCTTGGTTTAGTTCTCTGGTCAATATAGTTAACCACGCTAGTCTGGGGAGAGGGAAATAAAAGGCGCAGATTACTTTCTTTGTGGTGCAACCAGTCTCCTGTGCAACAGAAAAGGCCTGCAAGAAGGTGAAAATAGCAGACTATTTAGGGACTTCCAATTCAGCCTTTCTCTACCTAGAACAATGGGCTCCTAAAATAGGGAAAGGATAGTTTCCTCTGTCTGTTTCATGTTCACATAATTTTCCTATTTCTCACTCAGTATCACTCCACATACCATTTTTTAATTGCCTTTCAAGGGGGGAGGGGAAATAATTTACAAAATTCATTTACTTAGGAGTAATACAACGTTTGCAAAGTTCTCATGGATGAATGAATGCTAATTTAGTTTTATTTACCAGACAACCACCCAGTGGTGGCAGGAAGATTCCTTTTTGACAAATCGGTTGTAGAATAAACCATCCTAGGGGACAGTACAACTGCTCAAGAGCCAGACAGCGACCTCAAAGAAAGCACAGTGACGGAGAGACTTCTCCCTTCTCCAGCCTTCAAAGGAGTGTTTACATCCTGGTGTGTGCACAAGGCAGTACTGCTGCTCGTCCTACAGTTGTTTAATTCTGAACTGGAAGTAAAGAATTCAGCAGTACTGTAACTTCATTTCAGGGTTGTAAATGGGAAGATGCGATAGATCATGGAAGAACCTACCTTTCCCATATTTTATGAACCCGTTTTCTACAGGCAGAGGAAGGCTGAGCTGGAAGTTCCCTAAACAGACTGCTTATCTTAACCTGCTTACAAGCTTTTCCACTGTATGAGGGATGACCTGCTACAAAAGCCTCCCATTTACCATGGCACAGTTTCTTCACAAACACCTCAAGGTTTTTATTAGTCTTCTCCATAGACCCTGCCCTGTCCGGAGTTTAGGCTGCAAACAAGATGAAGCAGGAGCTAGAACACCATGTGTGTCCATTCAGAGCACATGGGAGCTTCACCACCTCCTGTTTTCTGGTCAAACACCTTTGCTGCAGACTTACCCCATACTTCTACAGCTCATTTCATTCCTGCAGGGTACCAGCACCCCAACTACACTCATCCAAGAAAACTGCACACCGGGAAACAAACAGTACAAACAAAGCTAATGAAGGCAATGGGAAGGAAGAAAATTCAGATTAATGACTACTGGGCTAGTTAGCAGGGTGACTGACTGTGCTATTTGACCTAGTATTTGTATCCATCTTTCTGGTATGCCAGCTCCCAGTTTTAGATTTGAAAGGCTAATGGACTTCCTCATGCAATTTGAGCAGATGTTGTATTGTCAAACAAAGCAAGTGCAATTTATGTCTGAGCTGTTTCAACTTCTGCGGTTTTATTAATGGGGATCTGATTCCTAGTTCCTAGGTTTTATTAAAAACAAACAAACAAATCCACAGAACAAAGAAAAAATCCCCAACACACCTACCCTGATGATCAGAGTCTGTAACTGCTGAACTAAATAGATTTTATGGTCACAAAAAGCTCCTTTTTTAAGCTGAGTTTGAGTCAGCCTTTTGTTTTCACTTTGAGGTACGTTAGACTTGGGCATCCAAAGGAGGACTTTCAAAAATCCTATACCTGGTAGGCACCAAATGTCAAGTGATACAGAGCTGCAGGAGATGGACAGACAGACAACTGCTGCCAGTGCTTACATGGCAGCAGCTGACTGATGGATTCTTTCCTGTCCTCCAAACTAAGGCATCAGTTTGGGACTTGCATGACTCTGGGATTTGCCTCCTGTCCTCTTCCAGTGGAGTAGGAGGGTACCCACCTCACAGTCACAGCTCTGCTCTTCCCTTAAGGCTCTGCCATGTAACTCTGAGAATTAAAGGTGGGAGAACTGAAGACGCTGCTTGATTTTGCTCTCCACAGAATACTCTTTCCAAGCACACCATGGACTAAGAGAAAGTGCAGTCCCTGGAAGAGACACTTCTGGGAAGGACTGCTTTTAAAATCCTCATTTCTCAGCACTGATGAGATATTTCCTTTTCAACCAACACTGGGAGCAAAACAAACTCAAAACACAATTATTTTCCTGTCCATTAGCGTCAACAGATCAGGAATGAAAGTCAAACTCATTTCCTCTCTAGATAAGTTTGCATCTTCCACCTGCATATTTTCTAGTTTTAAATGATGTAAAGTTAAGTCACTCCGTGTTTCTAAGGACACTCAACAGCTAAAAATTCCAAACCCAAACAAAAAGCAGGCATGACAATGCTACAAAGGATACAAGGCTAATGTTTACCTCTTCATCCCAACATCAGCCCCTATGGTAACCTAAACAATACCTCTTTCCAATACTAGCTATTATTTGGACAATTCTTTTGGCAATTGTTCTCCACCTTGAACTACAGGTAGCTGTGTTAATATTTCTATGTCAGTCTCTTTGGACCCTTACCTCAGACTACAGGATTCATCTGAGGCCTGAATTTCTGGTTTGCCTATTAGATGTTTTCCTGAGATGTGTCACTAGGCCAAACCAACAGCTGAGCACATCAAGACATTTACACTTTTACAGAACATTCCACATTAAGAAAGAACATGAGTAACTGCACAGCCAAAACTGTGCAGTAGCAAGTGGCATGGTGGATGCAATTAAAGAGAAACCAACCCCCACCCCCACCCCGCTTCCAACTCAAATTGCTACTTGCCCTAGGAATTAGTTCTGTTGGCCAGTTATTATTTAAGACTATGGCAGTAATTAATTCTTAATAAACTAAGAGATCCCAAAACACTATTTCTTTCCCCCCCCCTTTTTTTTTTACCTCTTGTTTGAATTCAACAGTCTCACTGCCATCTTCTTCTTTTGTTTTGACCAAGGACATCTTGACCCAAGTTCGAAAGCCTCCAGAAAACTTCCAGCTGGAGTATGAACTTTCACAGTCCTTCATGAATTTCTCTTTTTCTGGACTAAAGGGAAAAAGACCATTATTTTACTGACCACCCTCTGAGCACTGTAGGCAGGAGAATGTCAGACCTACAGGCACTTAAAAAAATGGTCACAATTCCTTTTATCTCTCACCTGCTAAATTCAACATATCTAAAACATTGTGAGTAGTGGTGTTCTCATTAATGGTAGCACATCCTTAACCGCAGGAGACTTACCTGGTGCCCTGTGGCCCTGGAGCTCTGCCTGCCCAGGGGAATTGTTCTGCCTCATAGGGGAGTTTAGTTCTGCTCATCTGCCATCTCTGGGACAGAAAGCAGCAGAGCCAGGACCTCAGGAAACAACTCGTCACCATGCTAAGAAGCAAGAGACAGAAGGAAGAGCCTAGAGGCAGGGCAGGCTGCTTCACCTCATTTCTGGGATGCAAATAAACTGGTTGCCAAATAAACCAGTTGCAATGCAGACATACTTAAAATGCTTTGAAATTGACATTCAGTATATTCCTATTATTTTGGAAACAACATACCATTGCTGTAAAGGCTCCCACCTGCAACAACATGGCTGTTTCCCCAGTATGCAATCACAGATATTTGTAACCTCCAGAACAGCAGGATTGCTTTGTATGTTTTTTTTTGGTTTGATTGTTTGGGGATTTTTTTTAATAATTGACTTGTAAGCCATTTTAAGGCTTCTAATACCCCTCATGCTGCAAGTAAAGAGACATATCTGGTCTCCATCTCTTCTCTACCAGCTGCACAGGACACAGTGCATTAACCATGCTATTTACATGGAGCTCCCTCCAAGATATTATTTATCTACTGCTATTTACCTACTGTGATATTAGCCACTTTCATGTCATCCCTGTGAAATAAGCCCAGCCTTGCAGCTGCTTTTCCAACAAGGTTTCATTTGAGAAGGAGGGGTAAACCACTGTGATGAGTCATGAATCATTAAAGCCCATGCTGCCTGTTTTTACTAAAGATAGATTCAGTTTGCAGAGACATGTTCAGGGTATGTCGATCCTTAAAACAAAAGAGAGGATTTTGACCCAAACTTCCTTCTTCCTAGTGAAGAGAAAGTGTACTTTTCTCTGTATGGCAGAGGGTGTACGTGACCGGTTCTGCTGAGAGACTGGGGTGTTTTGGTCTTTCAGGAGAAAGACGCAAAGAAGCAGAGAAGCAGAGCTAAAAAAGCAAGCTCTTGTCCCAGACAACAGTCCAATCATGAAGACTTGGGAAAATCCAGTCAGTATTGGTTCAGGACTTTTCTTGTCTTTTTTTCCTAGTTCAAAATCAGGGCTCCTTTTCTTCCTGGAAACCAAGGTGGCCTTGCCTACAAGGCAGGAAACACACTGATAAAGAGAATATCACACTACTGGCTCCTCTTACTATGCCTCCTGCTCAGGCTTAGTATGTGAATACACACATGCTCATAGGAAGGCAAAACCCAGCAAAGCCATTGCTCTCATCAGGGCTTCAGGTGATGGCTCAGACATGGAATTCCATTGCACACACACAGAAAGGAGAACCTGGAAAGGAAAACTAACACTCTTTGCTACCCATCAAGATACGTGCTATTCCAAGGGTCTTTTAGCAGGTTAGGAATATCTTTACTTGTGACATTAGGTGCTTGTTTAGTGAACCCAACAGGATGCCAGTGCACCTCTCTAACTCCCACAAGAAAAATGTGGGCAGAGCATAAGGACAAAGCCTGACTGCTCCTCACCCTACAAGCCAGGGATACAGGGACACCTAATCCGACACCCTTCAGGATGCGGGTAGAGCAGCAGCTGATGGGACAGAAGAGCACTGGAGTGCTTTGCCACTCAAGAGAAATGTACATAATTAGCACTCTGACAGCCAGTCATATGCCTAATGTCAGACTAAATAGAACATCCTAGGAAAGCTTTCCAAACCAACGTGGAAAATTGAGGCAGGAAGTTATGACACAGAGCTGAACGTTACAGCCACAACTTACAGGGTAGGCAGACAGCAGTAGAATACTTTGCCCTCAACAGTAATTGTAGGTTTGAAGAAGAAGGATTAATAATATCCCAGGAGAAGCTGAGGAGAAGGGATCTGAGAAGGCATCTCCTTGCATCTGCCCATAATTCAGACCACTGCCACAGAGTGAGGGAGGAAAAAAAAAGAAGGGGGAGGATGGCAGGAGTAGGGCAGAGAGGCACAAGCTTTGAGTAAATTAAGGCAGAGGGCAAATAATGCAGCTTTAAAACCACATACAACTAAATGAGCACAAGGCAGGCAAGCGATTTTAAGCGATTTTAATTCTCTCTTCACCCCAAAGACAGACAATGTACAAAAGATGCACCTTTTTTTGTTGTTGGTTGGAGGGTTTTTCCTTTTTTTTGCTGTTGTTTTTCAGTAAGTTCTTTTTTCCTATTACACTGTCCTTTAGAAGTATGGCAAGGTTCCTAGAATAATCTGCACTAGGCTCTCCCAGGACATTAATGGTGCCTGAAGACCATGCAAAAATTGCTACATCACAGCAAAGAAAGAGAACTGCAAGAGGTCTCACTCAGGTGAACTACAAAGCCCTGGTCTCCTCTCAGCCAGTGCTCTCTGGCTGTTCAACCTACTAACAGCCTGTTGTCCAGAGCAGTCAATGTCAGACCATGAGAGATTGTGTTTGTCCCAACTGTGGGAGTCACTGACCTAATTCTGTAAGTGCTGCAGTGGATCCTTCTAACACCAGTCTCTATGGACCAACCTACGTGAGCCAGAGGCAGCTCTTAGGACATCCCACCATCAGATTCCAATGCAACAGCAAGAGCCAAAGCCACACATGGTTCAAACCCAATTTGTGTTTACTGCTTTTTCATTTATCCAGACCAGGAAGCTCTCAGACAGCTATGGGATCTAATAAAGGGTCAGCTGGTGTGGTTCCCAATGTCCTGACACTTCTATGTAATAATCTGTTTCTCTGCTTGCAGCAATCCAGATCAGAGGCATGAACATGGAGCTCTGTTTAGACCCTTTAATAATCTCTGATCTGTTCCGACTGGTACCCATAATTTCACAGGACCATGAGTTATTTTACATGCTACACTAACAATACTTCTGTCAGTAGTATGTTCAGAGGACTTTCTTCTAAAACCCATATATTATACTAATGACAGTTCAGGAAAGGAATTTGTATTTTTAGCCACACTTTTTGCGTAATTTGCAAGGGTTTCATTATTTCCTTCCCTCCAGTTAATATGGTAGAGACAGCAGCTGCCACTGCCTTAAAAAAAACCAAGAAAAGAAGCCAGCAGCAGTATCCCTCCAACTCAGAGGCTAACAACAGCACACAGTGCAGCAGTGTTCTGTGGAGACCAGAACAAAACTTGAGAGCAGTGCCAGTTTCATGTAGTCTGTGATCCAATTTTAACACAAGAGCTGCACAGAATAAAACCCTCGACAGAAACAACTGGACCTTGCTCGAGTCCTCACTACTTGCTATGCCACAAAAAAACCCCTTAAAGATACAAGTCTCTAGATGCCATTTTTATTCCTGCTTGTGGCTGACGCTTTCAGCAGCCCTCCCTTATATAATTATTGCTATTTAAGGCAAAAATGAGCTGCACATAATACGGTCTACACAGAAACTGGGGTGTAGATACAGCAGGCCTCTTCTCACCGGTTTCAAGGGGGTTTGGATCATGATCTGAAATGATGGAATATCCTATTCATTTCACAGTCTCCCTGCCCAGCCCAACACAAGCTATTTTGCAGCCATGGCAAAAAACTGTGAAGGTAATGGTGATATCTCATGAGTTTTAGCATATCTGATAACACTGTACATGAACTGCTGGACGCAGTGCTAATACTGTGCTCTCATAACCTGTAAGTGAGACACTTTGTCAGGACAAGTAGTTGACAGAGGCCACTAACTGAAGTTTTAGAGGCTCTATGGAAGGACACACAACAGTTTCTAGAGATATCTTAGTCCAGACTTCCCATCACCTAAATTTAGCATCTCCTGATGAAGCAGAAATCATTTCTATTTTCTCACCAACTGAAAGTTGGACAGAATGAGTGCACTCCACATATGCAGTGCAGTTTCACATGCACTTCACAGTCAGGAGAAAACAAACTTCCAACCTGCCCTGAGCCCAGTTCATGCCCCGAGACAGAAGGAACAACAAACACAATACTGAGCAAGACAAGCCATACAATTTGTACTAAGGTTTGGAGGATGCTGTACAAGAGACACTACTGGCCTCCTGCCCACAACTGGTTCTCTTCCTGTATTTCATCTAGACGTGCAGATCATTTACTACTAAGGCTTGCCTACATGCCTTTGCCAATTTTATCATTAACCTGGGCTAGTTCAAACCCAGTTTTAACTCCCATTCCTACTACTGGGCCAGCAGCACGCACACCCGCAGCCTCCTTGCAGAAGTACCGCCAATGCAAGTGGGGCACATGTGTTTTAACTTGGGAAGAAACAGCTCTTTAAAAAAATCGCTCATCTGCAAGTCAATACAACGAGCACAGAAATGTGGCTTCCCAGGCCCGGGTATGCACAGACACAGCTCATTCTGGAAAGAGCTGGGCAGCCAGAGGCAACACAAGAGGGGGTCTCAGGCAGTGCCTGGTGTCTGGCAGCGTAGAAGCAGTTGAGCACCTTGCTGGAATCAGGCCCACTGAACGTGTTTCCAACCGCACCACAAGCCACAAAAACTGAGCAAAACCAGCATGTAAGGAACAAGTAGGACCTTCTACATCACTACTGCTAACTGGTATTTTCTCACCCTAAAAATATCAATGCCTAAAAAAAATGGAACATTAGCATTTTATGAGGTGTTTCAGTGTAGTTACAGAAAGTACTTGGTGACTTAAAAATCTCTCCTTCACTGAAGTAGAAAAGCTTTGTAAAAAGGAAATTCGGGTAACTGGCCTTTGGCCACTCAGAGATACTGCAACTGAACACTTCCAGTCTTTGCTGTATCTGAGAGCACCATTATGAGAAGTTCAAACCTCTGAGAATATGTTGCTACAATAAAATCTGTTATTTCCCTTCCCTCACCCAATCTCATTCTGCATATGGCCTTTATCCCCTGTCCCTTTTTCACTGAGCATGTAATACCAAATAAGGCTTTCTATCAGATGTCAATATGAGTAATATCTCTTGTCTAGCTTTTAGTCTGGATCACAGAGAGAACAGAACTTGAACTTAAAGCAAAACTTTAACAGCTTAGTATGAAATTTATTCTCACAAGGTGGGTAAAAGGGTGGGACTTTGAAGAAAGTTCAAGGTTAATTCCACTCTTATTAAAACTAGAAGAAGGTGATCAGTCACTCCAGTGGCACTAATGTTGAACAAATATGAAGCAATTTTGAAAACCCCATATATGAATCATTCTGCAGAATCCTACATAAAGCCAGTAAGACAACAAAATATAGTTAATCTTTCAATGAAATCACAAAAAATCAATCTACAGATGTGATCTTTAGAGTAACTCCTTTAAATAAACCCAAATGGTACAGAAATATTGGTGTTCCCTGTGCACTTCCTGACACACTACCCAGGAGAGCACACTTCCTGATCACCCACAGCAGCAGACAGCAGTAAGCAAGCACAAACTTCAGACTTCCAGAAATTGCAGCAACAAATGGTTTAAGCACAGCTGAGAACAGTTTTTGTCACTGAAAAAGTTCTCAATGCATTTTCTAAAAAGTATGATCAGCAAAGATATGAAAGAGCATCAGCATAATCCAAACATTAAAAAAAACCAAACCAAAACAAAACAAACAAAACATAAAAGCCTGTCTGATTTCTACTAAAAAGCCTTGCTTTCCCAAGTATTGTGGTAGCAAGTTCAATGCAGTTACAGGCTCATCCCTTTACATACCTGTTGACGAACTCTTGGAAAGAAGAAAACAGAAGGTAGTCAATGGCACTAAAATCTTGGTCTGTTTCATTTAAATGAAACTGCAAAAACACCAGTTCCTTCTTCTTCACATCACGAGGGCCTTGAACAACCAAAGCATACTTCTGTAAGCAAACAGAGATGGTGAGAGTGGCAAAGGAATCCTCGTTTCCTGTTCATGAATCTGTCAACTGGCACTAATATTGTATAGAAATCTAATACACACTGAGAGTTTCTTGGCTGCTACTAAGCACACATCTATTAAAATATTTGACAAGAATGCCAACTGAATCCATCTTTTTAGTTTAAAAATGAAGTCTTTACATCAAGATGTACATCAAGTCTTTACATCAAATGTTTTTCTAAGAAACCAGCTTTAATTCTGTCATCATCCTTTGGGATCTCATGGAATTACCAGTCAAGGCCCTGCGTTCTGCAGGAGGACAATCAAAACTGTTTACAGTATTAAAGTCTTGGAACTTTGCTCTTGACATGAAACAAGTTAATGTGGAGTCTGATGTGGAGAGGTCTCTGCCTCAGCGCCTCTCTATTCTACCGCAGGACTAAAGCCTATTGGATCAGCCAGCTTCTAAATGAATCTACAACACAGCATAAAATATAGGTTCTTAGTTTGTTAAAACATGCAAAAAGAGCATATAGGAGCAGAAATTAAATTAGACTTGCACCCAGACTTTTACTTTCAAATGTACTAAGGAGATGCTTCCCAAAAACTAATGGTGACTCGATGAGAAGCAAAATACGGAGAGGAACAAAGCTGACCAAATGGGTACCTAGATAGTTTATTTGTTCATGTTTAGTTTCCTTAAAAACAATCTGAGCAATCACTTTATCTAAAGTATTAAATATGGTCATTTGTGGGGTTTGAGCATTTCTTTATATAGAAGCCAGATTCTCTGCATATTTAAGGGCAGTTTAAGACAATCACTCAATGCACCCATTTTGCTGGCTCACAGCACTTCAGTGTAATGAAATGCTTGGTGGCCATTTAAGATTCTTCCAAGTGTGACAATTACAGCACGTAAATCCCAGCAAACAGACAAAAAGAGATCGGCTATCTTGCTTTAATGGAATAACTGCTACGGCTTTCAATCAAAGCCAGGTTTACAATATCAAGGAGAAAGCGTCTGAGTTCATTTAGGACAAGAATGAAGCAAGAGTTTTGTTGAGAAAAATTACTCATTTTATCCCATTCAAGTTTTTATGCTGCACACACCCACAAGACAGCTGATCTTCCATAACACATACACACACTGACTGAGGTCTTTTACATTTCTGAAAACAAAAGGACAGATGGCTTGGAAAAAAAACCTGGAAGAAAGGATTTTTTTTTTTTTTAATGGCATGTAGTAAATATTTTTTACTTTCAAATACAATTACGAGCAGAAAACCCATACTGAGTAAGCTTTGCTCTATTATATTATTATTACCATAGTTTGATTAGTAAAAGGATCTGTGTAGTTGATTCTCTGAGTGGTGCACTCAATGTGTCCTGGCTGACCTGGATTTATCAGAGGAGGAATGTGATTGTAGTAATCATGCTCGCAGCTAAGCAGCCGAGCCTTCCCTGGGTAAAAGGCAATACCTGTTTCGGGAGAAAAACATTGGAGAGCACTGATTTCCTTCCCAAGTACATAGATTTTCATTCTGGAATTTAATCTGACAGGATACTGAACTATCCTCAAGATCCAGCAAAACAATCAAATTAAACCATGCACTTCTGCATTTTTCTGGAGCAGGTCAAAAGCACCAGGTGCTTCAGGACAGAACCCCCACCACACATTGAAAAAATCAGCATTCATATTCCGTTACAATAACTCATGGTTCACAGAAGCTACTAAGTTTCCCTAGTCCTTCCATAAACCAGCAGCTAATACATCAGTCCCTTTCACCCCAAATGAATCTGTAAAATAAGTTAGGAGACTACTGAAGGCAAATGGACCTGTAGTGCTTCAGTTTGTTCATGTTTTCAGATATTAGCATTTGAGAGAATCAAATTTTAATTGGAAATAATGTATGAACTATATGTGACAGATTGCTGGCTGATCTAATAAAACTGAAAAGATGCTCTTCAGAACATCTAATGTCTTCTCTTCACTGGATATGATGTCATGATAAAAACCAAAGACATCAAATAAGCACTAACTGTTGCTTAGTAATAATCTTCTATTATTTATACCACTGGGTAGGTGGTATAAATAAATAGGCTACTACTTCACCTGGATGGAAACTCCTATCTATTATAAACCTCCCATTTCAGTCCAACAGCATTCATTGGAACTTCAGCCACCTCAGCTTTAGAAGGCTAGCAAAATACAAGATCCAAACCTCAAAATCCTGTTACACCACATATGCCACATTTATTATTATAAACAAGCTTGCTGGGAGATAATCTAGATCAACTAAAAAAACCCCACTATTATTTATTAGATATAATTAACTCACACAACTGAAATGATGTGCCCATCACAACGTGAGATGTCAAACAGCATGCATCAGTCTACAAACGCTTTATCCCTTTCTTCAGATCTCCATGTTTGCAACTTGCCACCTCATCACTTTATAGAGCAATAAACTAAAGGACTACATTAATTTAGGTTCTCTGATCTAGCACGGATCCCCAACTTTTGGATTTACGTGTATGTTGCTCTGCTTCTTTAAATGAAATTTTCTTCCTGTTGCTGTATAAAAAGCTCAAGTGGAAAAAATAAAAAGGGGGAAAACTTGAGCTTGCTTTCACTTGAGTCAAATCCATATGGTCCAAACACAAAGACCTACTTACAGAGCTAAGCCTAACTGACTGCACAGAAAAACAACTTTGAAACACTCTCCTTCCAGCCACAATTACTGGAGTGGCTATTTGTAAAACGTGGTAACACTTCAAACAAAAGTGTTAAATTGGAAACTGACCAATGACTGACTGAGCTGCATATGATACCCCAGCTCTATTTATGAATGGCTGCTCGATAATTTTAAAAAATAATAAGGATACAACTCACTATTCAAAGATGCTCCCGTGGAGTAATTCCTCTTGCAAACTGCGATGCAGTTTCTGCTGCCATGCTGCATTTTTATGCCAACATTGTTCCCTGCAGTCACATCACATTTTCATTGCCTACTGATGTAATATGAACTTGTAAACAACGCAGGATGGAAGCAGAAAGTGGCATTGTGGTTGGTTTGAGAAATTCACCTTCTTTAATGTGAATGGCATCTCACTGTCCAGTGCACAACTGAGCTCCTGACACACATCCTATGCGCTACCCTGTTTAAACAATACAGTTTTGGGAATATTTCCAAAAGGAATTATCTTCTTTCTCTAAAAGAGGACTCATTCTGGATCTAAAAACACTTCTTATCTATCAAATGTTGCATAATGCGTCACAGTTTCTGTCGTTCGTGTTACCAGCACGAAAGCTCCCAAAATCTCCCATACAATATCAACATTTCTGTGCAAAGTCAACACAACATAGATTAAAAAAAGAGGAACTGAAAGACCTGGGTCAAAGTATTATGTGCAATCTGGGTCCCGGAGAATCAACACCAAAGACCTTTAACAATCCAAGAAAAATGTGCACAACAACCCATTTTTTCTGTTACCGCTCTTACCGGGCGCATCATACAAGGACACTTCCTTGTAAGTGACAGACATCACTGGGTGCTTGAGCTTCTCCCTGAAGTCACTGATGGTTTGGTAGACAAGGAACACAGCTACAGCCATGAGCAGCAGATACATAAAGAGGAGAATTACCGAAAAAACATTTTTTAAGCAGGTCTTGCTGAAACGCAAAGAAGGGGTAGTGGTACCCAGTTCACCATCTAGAACCAAACAGAATATGGATTAGGACTTTAAAACACAGATATTTGGGCTGAAATTACTCGGTTTTCATTTAAAGATCGACCACTTGAGAGGAAAGTAAGCCTTAAACTCAGCTTGACATAAAAAGCCAGGGCTATTGCTGGTTTTGACGATCAGTCAAACAGATACTTCCTTCTCAAGTATGAGATATAATCATCCCAAGATCGTACCTCTTTCTCACAGATCAGAATGTGGCACTCAGCTTAAGGAAGTCAGGAAACAAGGTCTATTTTCAAGAACAACTCAGAAACAAAGTTCAAAGTTGATAAGAAAAAGCCTGTTGATGGCCAATCTTTGCTCCTGGAAATAATAACTCCCTTCCCCACCTCTCAGTCTGAGGTGATTCTTACACACTCAGCATATGCATTGGTAGAATGATTTAATACTCCAGTGCTCTTGCCCAGCTCTCTGCATTGCATCTCCACTATGGTAGAAGACACTAGATATTTGTTACTCTCCAGTTCATAAATCCTTGTGCATTCTACATAAAATTTCAAAAAAGGGTTCTTCCAATTACAATTAGAAAAACTCTGAGTCAATTCTCTTACAGTCTCCTTGCCTTCAAACTTTATTCTCTGAAGATCTTCAGACTAGTCTCACTCGCACACAGACACTGCTTTCCCCATACTCTGCGCATTTGCCATTTCTTTTGGAAATACTGCTAAGGAAAAACCTCATGTACTCGAGTTACATATCACACTTTGATTGTGAGTGATATATAGCTGAACACAAAAAAGGAGCATTAAAACCCAACACAGAAAAGGAGATAAGAAGCCGACTCTTCTGCGTGGCATAATTTAATGAGTCAGGCCCTCTGAGGCCGTGCCACACACTGCTCTTCAACTCTAATGGCACGATGCCTTTTAGTAAATCCTACTGCACACATAACCTCTTACAGAGGTGTGTGGTCACACACATGTTGCCAAGTTACAAGGAGAAGGCAGCCAAGGCTAATTAATTAGGACATTGATATGCGTAAAATTGCACTATTGAAACAAGTATGTCTTGAACAGCTGCAAGACATTCAGGCCATACTCCTTTCAGGTTGGCTTACCTGAATGCCTACACCTGAGCTGCAATAAGCCCTTTTAACACCCTCCAAAAGCAGGCCCAAACAGTCTTACTAAAAATTCGTTTAAAAGCACATCTGTTCAATATTGCATCTTGCTCATGTAAAGCTGGCACAGACTCTGCTTGCAACCCACTGCCACCATAGATACTGCAACTCAAGTCAGACACAACACAAAGGAAGATGACATACTAAGCTATCTCAGAGCCAGATGTACTGGATCTTCTTTTGCGGAGCACAGTTCATGACAAAGAAATATTTTCACATCAGTCCTTGGAAAACCTTCTTGGCTTTACATCACTACTGATTCACAAAAAATTAATAATTCAGTGTTTTGTTTGTTTTCAGAAGTGCAATAAAATAACAAAACCAAAACAACCGAAGCCACACACAGCAGTAGCTTATCAGGCACCAAAAATCAATAATTTCTGGGTCAACAGTTCTCACCTGGTAAAATAACAGAGCTGGCATCTTCATGAACTTCCATCTCTCCTTCTCTCTCATCTGTTGGGTTTTCAGATACTCGCTCCACATCTTCACTCAGCTGTGTAGTTAAAAGAGTGGTTCAATTTCCAAACATGCTCTCAACTTGCAATTGCTGGAATTTCTATGGTACAAATAAAAGAGGCTCCAACTAACCAAACACAGAAAACATGCCCCCAGCCCAAGAGCACCCAATATCTCTTCCACTAGTTCACCACACAAGAGTGACATTTATGTAAACCTACAGCTAAAAATGAAGTGATTTGCACACTGCAAAAAGAGAAAGACACCACAATAAATTTAACCTACTTCTACCCCGCTGCTTCAACAATAACACCACCTTTTCTTTCAAGATCCAAGCCATTATTTCCCTGGCAGCTCCAACCCACTTTAAACCCCCAATTAGGACAATGTCCTCTGATGTAAGCAGGAACTTTGCTCTGTCACTGAAGAACACAGCATTAGCACTTCTTAATAAAGAGGTGCAAAAAGCACGAGACACATTTTGACAGGTGTTAAGGCAAGTCACTCAAATGCAGTCTCGGCCACATAGGTAGGTCATTATGAGACAACAGTCAAACATCCCTATATTTCTGGTACTTATTTTATTTCACTGTACAGATAATTATATATTAGTGGTTATGCAACTAATTAGTCTTACGGTGTTTCTGAAACAGCAACAGAGACCAGATGTTTTCTTGTTTAGCTATTCAGAGCTCTGGGCCCAAACTGCCAAGACACTTCCCTCAGAGTCAGAAGCTTGTCACGTCAGATATGCATCACATGAGATCGTGAAGAAAACAGTTTTTATACATTAGATAGATAGATAGATAGATAGATAGATAGATAGATAGATAGATAGATAGATAGATAGATAATCTCCTATGTGTTTTCCAAATTTCTTTTCTGGCAGGGACTGACATACAGATTATAGCAAGGCAAACTGGTACACAAGCTTGCAGCACATCATGTGTTGCACAGTAACTGTCCAACTGTCCAACTCAGCATCACCTATCTAATTGGGTAAGGGAGAATAACTTTGTTCCTATTTCAAAGCAAATAGGGGCACAGTTAATGCAGCAGCCATACTGAATGCTATAAACTTTACATCCATAACTTACTCAACATGCATGCATCCATAAGGAAGTGCTTTTACTTCACCCAACTTTAATTCAGTATTGAAATCATCATTATATCATTACCAGATCATCACTAGCACCTATTAGGAAACACTCATTTTTCATCTTCAAAGTCTGACATAAACTCTCCTTCACCTCCTGTTGTGCTTCTGTATTCATTTCCACTGTGCAAAGCAAGATGAAAGCAGTTACCCAGTTTTTAAATGCTTAGCACATAAATAAAGCATGATTTCCTGTGGCATGGTGTGAACAGGTATCCAACAGCCTAAACTCAGCTCATTTGTAGGAGACTTACCAGGGTCCAACTGAAGATATATTTTCAATTATCTTCATAAAATAAAGGGAAATTAACACATTGCTCCTTTTTGTAGAAACATGCCAGTTCTATCTGTTTACCTGACCCAAAATAGGCCATTCTGACACAAGAAGAGTACTCACTGAACCTCTTGTACTGATTAGGGTAAATTAGATAAGAAGCCAGTTTCAATTATATTCATGCTGATTCCTTATACCAGAGCTGATCCAAAAACTTATTTTAAGTTACCAAGTCACCACAGTTTCTCAGCTGACTCCTATACCTCTCTGATTCCCCAGGCACAAGCACCTCATTGACTGAAGTTATTTAGAGGACAAGTGAATTCTATTCCTGAGAGCAAAGAGATCCCAACACAAGTTTAAACAACACCACAGTATGCAATATTTCCTTTCCTCACAAGAGAACCTACAGCAATCTTTTCAACAATTAGAAGAAGGGTGATCTTAGAGGTCTTTCCAACCTAAATGATTCTGTGATAAGCTCAGAAAACGTAGACTTTCAGCATCCCTTAGAAACAAAACCAAAAACCCAAACAATATGCAACTATGTTTTCTTATCTTGGTTGACAAAGCAGACACAGTTTCATAACCTTTTCACACACAAAACCAGAGAAGGACAGCCAGTAAGCACAGTCAGTCAAAAGCAGGAGTACTAACATTGCCTCAGGTGCAGTGAGTAGGCTGATGTGTAAGACTCCTTCCCTGAAACCAACTATATTTTACCACAGATCCTGAACACCTGAACTGACAAGAGGTGAAGCTGCATAAAGCCACTGAGGTGACCAAGAGCCTCGCACTGTCCATGGCTCAGCCCCTGCGTTCAGAGAGTAGGGCACACAGCACACTGTCTCTGCAAGGCACGGCAGCACACACCGTAAAAACCCAACAACTCACAGACACACTCTCCTAATGACTGGGGAGCCAGCACAGCATCACTGTGTGACAGCTGATTCTGGTTTGTTCACAGTTGTCACTTGTCTTGGATTTGGGGATTCCGTCAGCAGTGAACCTGGAGCACATCAGCTGTGTTCAGCCTCACAGGCCAGCTCTTCCTACATTGTATTTTTGACAAAGAGGTGAAGCATAGTGCTAATGCAGAAGCAACATAAATTGCAGGGCAATTAAGCTTGCAATAGGATACAGAGATAGAATGGGATGTCAAGGGCAGGAAGGGCATGAAACAGACTTTGTTCAGCATTCCTCTGGGCTCAGCACATACAGCTAAATGAGAAACGACTGAGGAAGCTTGTCTATGTCCCAGCAGTTCCTTTTCAGATCTGCACACAGAAAAGTACTGGATAAATAGAAGCTCAGAAAAGGCAATTCTAGATATTCTAGCATCCCTGCTTGGGGCAGAAGCACCAAAGACTGCTGCAGGCACCAGAGAAGGGATGGAAACACAGGTGCTGTACTTAGACACATGCCACCTAGACAATGCCAAATGTACGGACCAGTGTCAGTGGTGGCTGACACACACAGCATGCATAATCCAGTCCAAACTTCAGGCATTTATGCAACTTCATTAACTCTCTAACTCTCCCAAGTGCCTCATATACGTACAAGCACACAAGTCAAGTTCATCCTGATAAATCTTCCTACTGTATAAAAACCTCTTAAATAAAAGCAGAACTTGGTCTCACAGGCCTTTTGCTGGTCCGCTGATTCATCACCTTCCAATGCCTTCTAGCCTGGCACGAAAACCAGAAGCTGAAACTAAACAGACAGCACTAAACTAAATTAGAACGTATTAAAACTGAGCTCCAAAATACTCGTCACGTGCAGAGGAAGGAAAATATCCACACTTGTTTGTATCTTGCAGGCAAAAGAAAAGTGCCCTGCTGCAACTCTCTACCGTTGCTGAACTTGGCACAAATAGCTTGTATCTCTAACAGGAGAGATAGGAAGGAGCAAGGAATTCCGGTTGCTGAGACTGTACATTGATATGCAAACCAGGCTCTGCCTCGGGGTCTTGGCAGGGTGATAAAGAGGCCTTCAGTTTCGGACGCGGGAGCTCTGGTACCAAAGGCGCTTCTCACACCCGACAGACCATCCCCTTGTTACCAAACCCCAGCTACAGAGTCCCATCGGCCAGCTGTACCGACCTCCTGCCCTGAACACAACCGCTGCCCATTATTCCAACCGCGTTCAGAGATGAAACACACGACACTACGCGCATCCAAAACCCCCGTTCCTTTCCCGGAGAGCGCAGGTGACCCCCACGCCGCAGGTACCCGGCGGAGCCGCAGCCGGAGCCGAGCGAGCTCACGGCCACAGCCACGGGTGTCACCGCGGGGCAAGCGGCGAGCCCTGGCCAGGGCGAATCCGGCACCAGTGGCCAGCCGGGAAGAGCCACCCCCCAGCCCTGCCCTGGCCCCCCTGTACCTCCTGGTAGGATGCGGACACCTCCGGCTTTAGCATGGCATCAGCGGGGGCGGCCGCCGCGGGCACCGGGCGGCACCCGGCGGCACCGCACGGGGCGGGGCAGCGACACCGCGCCAGCGACGGGACGGGACGGGACGGCACGGCACGGGACGGGACGAGCCAAGCCGAGCCCAGCCGAGCCGCCCTGGCCGGGCAGGGCCACGCAGGCGCCGGGACCCCCCGCCCATCCCCCGGCTGCTTCCCGCCTCCCGGCTGCTTCCCGCCCCGCACCGGGGCTGCTGGGAAGCGTAGTCCGGGCAGAGCCGCCGTGAGGGGCCGGGCAGGGGGCGAACGGGGCGGCACACGCGTGAGAGGGGGTTTGTAGGGTTTGCTGGAACATTAACCTCTAGCAGGAGGTGTGTAGTACTGCGCAGTGACGGGGAGATGAGTCTTTTCTACACCATGCACTAGCACAAGAAGGAGCGAGGTCGGAAAAGCAGTTTATGATAATTTGCCAGCTCTCCCCACGCTGCACAAAATATTGCTTTTTAAGACTTTTTTTTTTTTTTAATTCTTATTTTTATTTTCTTCTGCTCGAGGCGGTTGGCAGAATACCAAAACAACAGACTCGCTGGGCAACCAGACAGAACTTCTGCAGGGCTTCTAGGATGACCCACCACCAATGCTGCGCCCGCAGCAGTGGAGCACTTCAGGAAGATAAAAGCCTAAGAACTGACTCATGTCCCATCTGTCCACAAATACTTACACGGCTATTTTTTTTCTTGCCCAGCATGGAAGTAATTGTTGATGTTTCATCATCCAGAAAACACATGCACGTTTCTTGCGTTGAGACGTGGCACGGCAGGGGATTCCCTGCTCAGCAGATCATTTCCCTATGCCCAAGACCCACACCTAGTAAGTTAATAACCAAGGTTTGAAGTCCTTTGACAATAACAATCCTAATACACAGCTTCTCCTTTCAGAAAGAAAACATTTTAGGTCTTGTTAGTTATTTTTCAGAAGTTTGCGGTTCAAAGGCAGGCCCAAAATCACATTTCAGACAGATGCTGGCTAGTGTTCAGCACTTGCAGCCCTCCCCTGGATTGACACTAATAATTATTTTAGAATAAAAGGTAAACCTATACTGTGATTGAACCAAACTGACAAATCAGACTTTTGCATTTTTCCCAGTAGCATGGGTCTCTATGGGAAGGCATGTGGGAGATTTGCAGACAGAGCAACCAGGCAAATACCAGAACTCTTTCTCGCACATAACAGGAGTGTTCACAAGCTGTTTGACCAAAGCTTTACCAGAGGTCTCTTTTCTGCTTGACGTTTCATACCTGTCTTGTGGCATGTGAAGTCATCAAATGGGTGTGATGGGCAGCCAGAATGGGAAGCCCATTCTGAAGCCAAGCTATTCTTCAGGCAGTAAAGGCAAATTCCACTGCTTAAGGAGAAACACAGGAACAACCTTGTAAACCTTAACCCTAACAAGACCAATACTCAGCTTGCCACACCAGACGGCCCCGTGTAGCAGTCAGCCACAGCAACTTGCCTTCCCCATGCCCTGGCTCAGCAGGCTTGGCCTGCCTCTTCATATGGGGATGTGGCCCATATGAAGAGGCAGCCCCCTATACTGTGGAGACATGCCCTCAGTCCCCTGTGCCTCTCATCTTGTGCTGCTGTTGTCACCCAGAAGAGAACTATGGGAAATTGCTTTGGATTATCTACTTCAGCTCTGCTTACACCAATGTACAGATTTTCCTTTGGTCAAGAGTGTTACGTGGAACAGGTGTCCTCCAAGGCAAACATAGGGATTTTACACAAGAAGAGTTTATAAACAATCCTTAAAATAAACATCAAGCCCAATCCTACCTCCTATTTACTGTCCAGATCCTTCTCCAAACTTTTGTTCAGCTTTCACAAAACTTGTGGAGATTGACTAAGCATGGGTTTGAAGTACAGCACAGTAGTCAGGAAGCCTGGGTGCTGCAGTATCCAGGCTTTAAATCCTTCAGGTCCTAATTTGCCAGCACTGCAGGGAGGGATGTATCCGAATTGTAAAATGTTTTTCATTTTCTTAATTCTATATGGAATTATAAGCATCAAACTACTTATTTTTCTGCCGGCCAATAATGTATTCCTGATATGTACTTATGAGCATGGGGAACACACATAATCTGAAAATTTCCTATTTATTCTCTCGGTTCTTATGCTAAAAATGTCTGTTTTTTCTAAGTCATAAAGGTGAAGCCTATCCTATGTGTGGTGAGTTTGTGAATAAACATTCAAAACAGCAAGCAAAGAAACTTCAGAAGGAATAAAGGATGAAAATTGAGAAATATTTTTTACTACCGAATGAGTTAAAAGTGCCAACTGTGCATCCCGCATGGAAGAGAATCATAAAATCGTGTAGGTTGGAAACGACCTCTAAAATCATGGGAGCCCAACCACTAACCCAGCAGTACCAAGTCCATCACTAAACCATGTCCCCAAGTGCTACATCTATACGTCTTTTAAACACCTCCAGGGGTGGTGACTCCACCATTGCCCTGGGCATCCGGTTTCAGCGCTTGACAATCCTTTCCGAACATCCAATCCAAACCTCCCCTGATGCAACTTGAGTCTGTTTCTTCTTGTCCTACTTATTGCTCGTTACCAGGGAGAAGAGACCGACTCGCCCCTGGCCGCAGCCTCCTCCCAGGCAGCTCCGGAGAGCGATAACATCCCTCCTGAGCCCCCATCTCTCCAGGCTCAGCACTCGGAGCCCACGCTGAGCCCTCCGCGCGTGGCTCTTTAACGCCGATGCATTTGGGTATCCCACATCGCTTCCCGCAGCCGGAGCCAGCGGCGGGAGGCGGGGCGGGGAGCGCGGCATGGCGGGCTGTGCTGTGCGGCTTCTCCTGGCCGCGCTGCTGGCAGCGCTGCCGGCCGCCCCCGCCGAGCAGCGGCTGCGCTTCAGGCCGCCGGCCGAGGCCCCCGTGAGGCTCTTCACCGAGCCCGAGCTGGCCAGATACGACGGGCAGCAGGTAGGGCCGCCCGCCCGGTGTGCCGGGCTCCGGCGCCGGGGCCGGGCCGGGCCGGGCCGCGGCCAGAGGGGCGGCCGGCAGCCCCAGCGCTCCCTCCGTGCCCGCCGCTCCGTGCGCGGAAACCGCCCCAAAGCCTGTTCTTTCTTTCTTTCTTGCCGTGCTTTGCTTCTGCTGCGCGGTCCCACTCGATCCCTCCGGCCCAGGAATTTTGGGGATCGCCCGCCGTTTAGGCACCGTGAGAAGTTTGCGGGCGTCCCCTCTGTTGGTCTGCCCGGCTGGCAGCTGCCCGTTTTGAAGCTGCACGCACACAATTAAATGGCTTGTGCCTGTTTTATTGGTTGCCTGCTTGGCAAGGGACTCATGCCAGGGAATTTCAGATTACCGTGAGTTGGAGCCAAAATAATTTCCCCTCTTTAATTCATCAAACCACATTTTTTAGGCACAGCTTACCCCCCTCACCCCCTTTTTTTACAGGATTATGGAAATAACAACGCAATTTCAACTTAAAAGTTTTTAACTTTCTGTGATGCAGAAACCTCAGCAGAACTTCACATTCAAAACGATGAAGTCCTGTCTTCAAACACATCAGCTTCTCTTCTGAAAAAACTGGCTGGCTGACCTTCTCAGGGTCTTCTCCAGATACTTTCAAGAAACTTATCAATATCTGACTAAAAATACGTCTTATGTGTAAAAGAACAAAGCAGAAGCACTGGCTTATTAAGTAAAACAGATGTCAGCAGATCAGATTTGTGTGTGTTTGTGCATTCATCTGTTGTTTCTTAATCAAATAATGTTGTTGGCCATACACCCTTTTTTTTTGGTGCAATATCCATCTGCATTAGGAATAGAAAGATGTAGTGGATGGGCTTCAAGCAGACAATTGTGCAGACGAGAAGTGACCTGCAAGAGGAATGTCTTCTGTGATTGTGTTGTTTAGATTAAAAAGATTCTCCCATTGCATGTTGTTAAAATGTAAAAAAAAAAAAAAAAAAAAAAAAAAAAAAAAAAAAAAAAAAAAAAAAAAAAAAAAAAAAAAAAAAAAAAAAAAAAAAAAAAAAAAAAAAAAAAAAAAAAAAAAAAAAAAAAAAAAAAAAAAAAAAAAAATCAGGGACAGCTTAAAGCATAAGCAAGAAAAGTCAAGAGATGGAATGTATACACTGGTGTACACACAGTAAGAGAAAACATACAACGGATAATTTAATTCTCTCCTTTGTGTCCTGAGTGCTTATGGATTTCATAGCTAAAACTAACTGCCTTTTGCCTATGCTTAAGTGCTGAGGATATATTGATGGCTTTCTTTCCAGGAAGGACAGCCCATCTACCTGGCAGTGAAGGGAGTAGTATTTGATGTTACCTCTGGAAAAGGTTAGTTTGTGTCTCATCTGCTGTCTGCTTTGCTTTCATGTTATTATTCAGTCCTTTGTTTTTAAACATTCCCAGTGTATTAGAAGACTGCAACAAGAAGAACACGTTTTTCCTCTTTTAAAAAACTTGGGTTTCCTCCTCTGACATCTCCCCTACAAAGGTTTAAGGTCCCCTACACTGGTTTGAGATTACAGCACACATAGACAAGCCAGCACTGTCCAGTTAGCTTGGGCACTGCTGACAGAAATGCTGAAGACACCTGCCCAGACCTCTGAATCACCAGATGTGGGGTCGGGCCACATGGAAGCTGCTGCTGCAGCACTTTGGTGTCCTGACCAGATCAAAACTAACTGGGTTGTACCTGTATGGCATTACACAATATGAACACAGCTGCAGCTCATCTTTTGTGCTGGTATTCATCCATCTGTGCTGTCCAAATGGCCTGGTCAAAACTCTTGCAGGAGTTCACTGTGGTTCTGAAAGTAGAGCACGGAGCCAAGTAATTTTTTTTCTCCTTGAAAATTTTCTTATTTCATAAAGCATCTTGTCATTTACACCTAAACCATCTGTGGCTGAATTTGCTGTTCTGCCTTCTCTAAGAACTAGAGATATTTTAATTTGAACTCCTGCAACTTAATCCAGATTTTCTATACAATGTTTGAAGGGGCCATGAGGGTCTTAGACACTTGTCCTAATGTCATCATAAGAAAACTAATGGCTGGTTGCTTTTTTAATACTAACCTGGTTAGCGCAACTTGTCTGGCCATACCTGCTGGCTGATCTTTAAATCCCAAGTTAGACAAGGCTTGCCATGCAAATTCTGGAGTCTACAAACATCTCATGAGAATGTAAAGCACAGCTCCCTAAATAATTGGTAAATTTTAAGACTGTAGTATAGGAAGTTCAACAGCTATATAACCCCACCCTCCGTTGTTTTGGTTGGTTAGTTGGTTGGTTTTGTTGTGTTGTTTTTTTGTTTTTTTTTTTTTTTTAAGGACTAGGATATATTATCAAAAAGTAGAAAATCCAAAATCGGTTTTGGAAAAAAGGGTTTTAGACTTAAACTGGATTTTATTTTTTTTAAATCTGACAGAATTTTATGGAAAAGGAGCCCCATACAATGCTTTGGTTGGAAAAGACTCAACAAGAGGAGTTGCAAAGATGTCTCTGGATCCAGCAGATCTTACACATGACACAGTAAGAAAATGGACCATTGGTTTAATTCCATTTTTCAAAATTAAATTATTCTGAAAGATGAATAAATACTTTTAAATTACTTGTATTTATTTATGGTGATTCACATATTGAAAACCAAAATGCATTAATATTCTTTAAATACATAAAATAGATAGGTATTTACTGCCCATGAAAGATGCTAACAGCCTTCAAGAGGAAAGCTTTTTATCTGTGGAATCAATACAACTTAAGTAAGTGTGTAAAGGGGAAATCACCTGCTGTTTAAAAATGTTCACAAAGAGAGTGAATCCCTTTCTTTGTCAGCTGGTTTAGTGTACCGTGTGTCACTAACATGGCAGTGGATGCTAACTCTGGCAGTGGGTTTTTACTTAGCTGAGATGTGATTTACTATGGGAAAATGAAGGGAGGTTAGTGGTTTAATATACTCGGTAGACCTGAGTCAGTTCTGTCAAGGCTGAATTTGAATGAAAACAATAAAATTACAGATAATACTATTAAATTTGTTAATTATGCTCTGCAGAGTAAACCCAAAAGCTGACCCTAAGTTTTATAGTAATCAGTAAAAAAAGAAAAAATGCATGTAAATATCTGTATTTTTATTTCTTTGAGACAGGACTTTCATTTCCCTATTTCATTTAGACAGGACTCACAGAAGAGGAACTGAAGTCCCTGGATGATATCTTCAATAATGTTTATAAGGCCAAATATCCAATTGTTGGCTATACTTCTCGAAGAATTCTGAATGAGGATGGCAGCCCCAATCTGGACTTTAAACCTGAAGATCAGCCACATTTCAACATTAAAGATGAGTTTTGAGGAACATTTTTTGCACCTAGAGAATGCCTGGGGAGAGGCACAGTAGAATATTAGTTTGATTCTATGTTCTGGAGTTCATTACAACAATTAGCTATCACAAGCCAGTTTTGTGTTCAGAAAATATGTTTGTGTGTACAGGAATAGTTTAGAGGAAACAAACAGATCTGTAGCAGTGTCATACACTTGGGCTGTTTGCTGTGAAATATGAGAATTATCTAACAGGCAAATTTCTTCTGCTTGGATTTCTCTGTCCACAAGTGTGTAATGTAAAATTTTATTCCTTAGAAGAGAGAAGGAACGTTTTAATAATTGAAACATGATCAATCTTTTTGTAAATCCCAAATTGTTTCCTACTCCTTGGAAAAGTGTGAATGTATTATGTAGACAAAAATCAATTCTCTGTGCTTCGTGTCAGGGTAGGTATCACAAGTACAAAGAGGTGCAATAGAGGCTTACATTTTAAAAAGCATTGTGGGGTTTAATATTTGATAGGTTTGAGAATACTGGATAAAGAGCAACTCAGTCTCTTAAAATGCAGTTACTGTAGAGTATTTCTGCAAAGCCTACAGCTGTAAACTAAGAAAAATAAATCTTATTTCCCCCATGAGAACTACTGTGACATTTTAAATAAGACTATTATGTTATTTTTGGATAAATGACACTTTAATTTTTAAAAATAATTATCAAAGATGTCATCTATATTAGATTATGATTATTTCCTTCTAGTTCCCTCCACTCTTTCTCTGACAAAAAAAGGAAATGATAGCCCACTGTTTACCTCATACTCTTACAGCACACAAGTTTATTATAGCAGTTTAGTGTCCTGTGGATATTGTTAGGATCTTTATATTGACAATTTCAGCTCTCATTTTTTATGTCTCTTAGTTTTTCTTTGTTCTTACTCAGGCTTCATCATTGCTGTTCTAATGAAGCGTGCAGTCCCGTGTTCCTCTTCCATTTAACCTAATATGCAACTGCAGATCCTGTAGGGTGAAAGCAGACCCCATTTATTGTGTTTCCCTGGCAGTCTTGCAGCAACAAGAGGACCATGAAAGCCTGTGCTATATAAATTGCTGCTAACCACTGACTTTCACTAACTTAAGAAGAATGTGAATTGTCTTGAATATGGGGTTATCTACCACTGTGACAGTTTGAATTGATACGGGAGAAACTAAGCAGCTGCTCCCAATTCTATATTATTAATACAGAAATAATAAAAATACGATTCTGTATTTTTGTTTTATTTCTTCAGCATTTTGGCCATTTTCTTTGAAGGGAAGATTTTATTAGGTGATTCTCCACTTTCTAGTTTCCAGGGGACAGCTGCCTGTCAGTTGAGTAAGTAGAGGAGTAATTTCCATGTATTTGTCCATCCTTTTACAATGTTACCGATTTTATTCTGAACTTGTTTTGTATTTTAGACCACTTCATTTGCAGGAGGGACTCCCATGGGTCCCCCTGCTCTTGGATGGTGCTCTGGGTAGAATAAATAAATAAATTGGCATCTCAGAGACTATTGATTCAGATTATTGCTTTTGTGTTATTATTTATTATTATTATTATTACTATTACTGCTGACCTTTTGATTAGATACCAACAGCAGCTGGGAGTTTGCTCCTTGGTAATACCTGCCATCTTTATAGGAATTAGTGGGGGTTTGGGGGGAATGGTGGGTGGTTGGTTGCCAGCATTTCACAAATAATTTTCTCCTTCCCTTCCTTGCATGGTTTTTTTATGGGGCAGCTTCAGTATTTCTGCTACTGTGAATACTGTAAGAGTCTTTGCTTCATCTGGAACTGTCATATCCAGCTGCATTTCAAAAATGTTGTAGTTTGATTGCAGCTCATCACCACTGAGTGGCTGAGTGTTACTGTTCTCTCCCTGCTTTCCCTGTTCTTGCTATGAAGGTCACCTTTGCTGATCTCAAAGCAGATAACTCAGCTTCTGTTTGTATTAAATTCCAGGTTCTTTTCAGTGAAGAAATGCTCCTGTTGCAACAGGAAATGGTGATAATAAACCCCCTCTTGTAATGCAAGATCCTTGTGAACCCAACCTGCCCCCACTCAGGTTTGTGAGGGAGATGCTTTAGTCTTTCCATTCTGTTCCTAAAGACAAGATTATCACAACTGAGTGCACTTTTTGCTTGTTTTTCAATTTGAGAACTGGAGGATTCACGTTCAATCACTTCCTAGGCTATTTCACTTGGGGTTCCCACTCAATAGAAGTGTGATGGTAATAAGGCTTTAAGTGGATGTACATCCTTAGCATGTTTTTACTGACTGCTTTTTAAAAATGCATTCAGAGTACTACAGTATTTCTTTCAGTGGTAAACTAACAACACTGATTTATGTCTAAGGTTCTTTTACTTGCCAACAGCCTGAAATTTATTTTGCTGCCTGCTTTGGCTGTTTTGTTCAGTCAGCTGCATTTCCCTGACCTCTGTATTATTCCAGTAAAACAGGTGCCCTCACAATCTATAAATTGCGCTCAAAACAAACAAGCTGTGTGAAGCACTGTTGTAGCCTTCCCACTACTCCAGACCTCCTTTGGAAAGTGTAAAATTTCTTTTCAATTTACTTGCTGCTTCAGATAACATTGCAAATGTCGTAATTTTTGCTGTTTTGCTTCCAACACGCATCTTTAATGAATTCCTGCATCAAGAATTACCTGACTTTAGTATTTAATAATAGTTGAGTCTACAGAATGTTAAGAAGTATCAGATGGGTTCATTCACTTAGAGGATGCATAACCTGAGTTGCTGTTTCCTCCCCGGCGCTCTTTTCAGTAGTCCCTCAGTTTGATCCTAAAATATTTGACTAATTTTTCGGACAGGATAGATTCTATCATCCCTGCTTTAAGACCTCTCTGTTTAACAACTGGAGCATCAGGACTACAAATACAAGCAACCATAATTCAATAAAGGGGTTATGAAATGCAAATGAAAGTATTATCTTTATTTTTGCAGTTGTAGAGACTGCAGCTGAGAGAAATCCTACCAAGAATGTGTGTGTTAGCAGCTGTTAGTCACAGCCATTAGTTATTGCATCCTAATCTAAACAAGACCACCTGCCAGAACACAGGGGCTCTGAATCCTGCAGATTGAGTGACTGAGATTTTTCCAAGGATTTGGGATTACTCATAAAACAAAGTTATTTCTTTCCTAACTCTAATGTGTATATGAACAAAAATATTTTTGTAGTCCTTTGCCAAAATATGAGTGTTTCATTGGTTTTAAAAATTCAGATTTTGTATTAGTTTTCTTATGCAGAAAAGGCCTTGTGCTTCTTTGAAAATTGCAGCCTCATCTACTGTCTCTCTGGTCTGATGATACTGCTGGCTGTGAATTCATAACAACAGGAGTCAATGTAGGATCAGGTTTCAGACTGCTCTTGTCAGACCTGCCAGACTTTCATGTTTCAGTAAAAACTAAAAGAAGATGCTTATCTGTTTAAATACAGCGCTTTGGAATGGGAGAAGCCTGAACACTGTTTGTAAATCATCTCCTTTTACTTTTGTTTCAAAACTACCATCAGGCAATATATGCAACAAATGATAATTTGGAAAGGCATTAAATTGCTGCAGTTTTCTCTTGCAAGACTCCCAAGAACCTGTTGAACAAGAAAAAAAAAAAAGGTTTAGCTGACTTTCTCATATGTATTCCGTCTCTTTTATTGATCAATATATTTATCTGAAAGGAGCTCAGTGTAATTTGCATCTGCTCAGGAGAAAACAGAAGAGATGTGAAAAATTTCACAGAGGAAGTCCAATGCAAATTCTTCAGCTGATCTTGTTGAACTGAAAAGAAAAAAAGTCAAAAAACATCTGACTACATTTGTTAGTGAAGAAACTGCCATTCAGAAGGGTTCAGCTGCACATCAGTAAGATGTGCTAAGTAGCTCTGATTAGTATTTGCATATTTTCAGGTGAACACTGGATATTCTCAGGGATATCTTGAAATCCCAGAACTGATGTAAGTGACGACAATTGTACACTTCTATCATCCATCATCCGTTTATGCTTTTGCCTAAGGAAACAATATCCAAACCAAGCAACTTATATGAAAAATACACATACCATAAGTAATATTCTGATAAAGTAAAATGCACATGAACCTATAACCTGAAAGCTATTTACATGGTATACAGAGTGACTGTATGCAATCAGTCCTTGTCTCTGAATGCTTTAAAACAAACAGAAAGAATCCCTAGACTCTTAAATTTGTAGTAACCATTTCACTCAGAACTCCATCTGCAAATGCTAGTTCAGACAGTTATAATATACAATGTGTCTGCTTTGACAGAACAATCAGTGCCATATCAAAAGGTGTTTTTTTTTTTTGAGGCTATTCAATCAGAGTCTCAAAGAACTAAGTCTGTGATGGGTGGGCATCACTGCTAGAAGTACACTAATAGCATAGGCATGATTCTGATCTTGGCATGACCAAAAAAAGCCCCTAACCCAGAAAACAATATGTGGGAAATGAAAATGTATCTTAGTGAGCTACTGGGAAAATTTATACTGGCAAGGTAGATTTGGCAGAGCAGGTCTGATAACAGACAGTGCTTCCTATTTTTGCTTCTGTCAAATGTGGTCAATGATAACAATGTAAACTACTACCCATCTGTTGGTCTTTACGTAACACCTTCTGCTTTAGCTTTTTTTCTTCCTGTTTAGTAGAAGGTGCAAGTCCTAATTTACTTGTTTACAAAATGTATGCTTAGACCTCAGTCATCTGTTGAGAAATCCAAAGTAAGAGAAACAGAGATTAACTTTCTGTGAAAAATAGACCTTTGTGCACCTGGATGAACTGCAGAGCTACAGGAAGTACTCTGGAATAAACAATTCCTATTACTGTTTCCTGTAAGTTATTTGTAGCTGTTGCCATCAGAAATTCTGTACTGTTAATGAATGTTCAGATCACCATGGTTTGAAGTACTTCTTGACATGATCCTTTATCATTCTGACATGAGTTATATCCTTCTGAGAAGTCCAAAGTTTAAAAGAAACTGGGTGCAAGCCACCTTGGAGATAAGCCAGCCAAGGAAAATCAAAATATGACCTAATTTTCCCTCTACTTCAAGAAACTTCTCTGAAAAAGGAAATCAATGTCCCAGTGTCTATATTTTACCTTCCAGATTTTGCTGCAAGTTTTCTCATAGTGTGCAAAGGCAGCATATAAAGCAGAGGCTTGGATCTAACCCTTTCACCATGAAAATTTTAATCCATTTCTTGGGATATCTCCTGGGGCTTTAAAGATTATGACGACCCCGATAGTGTACTACAACGAGTCAAACACATGAACTGAATCAAAACAGGCCTAAACTAACAGGAATGTCTGAATCTAAAGCCGAAACTTACAGCTTTGCACCCTTCTTTTGTAGACAACAAAATCTTGGAATGAAAAAAATCCCTTAAAGGTAGCATTTGTTTCTGCCAGTTTGGGCAGAACAGAATAAGAAGACGACTGAAGTGAAAAACTTCCTTGTGCCTAGTTCTGTTCTGCTTTGCAGAGATTCTAAAGTCATTTGTGTTGGATATGCAGAGCTTAGTTACCAAGCAATTTACTGCTTGGGGGACAACTTTACAGATTAAACTGATAACTAGTTCAAAATAGCTGCGGCAGATCAGGAGTATCCTAGGAGGTTACAGGTCTTGTTGGAGGCTGTGTTGACGTAGCCTTTAATTTTGCATTGCAGTGCTGGTTTGGTAATGATCACAGATAAAGTCCAAGTACATGCAAACTTATTAATTACAATTAACCCTGTAATAATTAAAAGGAATTACATGTTTAAATTGAGATTACATTAGGTAACACGTCTCCTACATTATGCTTGGAAGTGCCTCAAGCATTTCACTGATTTTTTCCTTATTTATTGTTTAATCACGGTCTGTTCTTTCAAATAGTTCTGCAGTACTTTTTAAGAACAGGACAGTAGGCCTTTCAAGGCATTTGTGAGGTATTTTTTTGTTACAGAGAGATATACATATGCACTTGAGATACACAACAGATGGATCTAACAATTTAGACAAAGGCAACAGTCCCATAGTCTTTTAAAACATGTATTCCATGTATTTCTTAAAGTGAACAGGTCACAAATAGCTCCCCGACAGAATAAAAATGGTAGACAGAAATGAGTCTGTAGGGATATCTGAAAAGTTCTCAGCATTAATGTGCAAAAGACTAACCTACCAATTTTAGTGAACTTGAAAGCATTTTAAGAACACATGCTTATGAGGGATGTTTGATAATGTGCTGAGCCTCTATGATTCTACACATTAAATACTACACGTTTCCCAAAATTCCTTCCCATTCCCCTGACTGGTCTCCTTTGAGTTTACCGTGTCTTGCAGCTGGAAGAAAACAGGCTGCTGAAAGGTTTGTATGTGAAGCAGAAGCATATCAGTGGAATATAACAATCTGAGGCAGAGGGAAGGAAGGTGAGTGAAACTCTACTTACAAGAAGCAGCAGGAGATTATAAATAACTCAAGGAGAGTACAGTTTCAGAAGAGGTGATGCACTCAGAGATAAGGTTGAACTTGAGAACAGGAAAGTGTGACATCCTTCCTGGATACAGTTCTGGGGAAATCAGCACGAATTAAACAGTTTGTGATTGCTGGCTCCTTGCTTGGCATTCTCAGTCTCATTTTCCAAAAACACTGATGCCTTTGGCTTTGATACCTTGCAGGTGCCTGGATTAATGAAAAATCATGCTGCTTCTATTCAGTCCACAATTTACCAATTTTTCTCATTTTGTCTTTAAATGATCCCCATTCCAATTTGAGAAAAAAAGTTGGAGTTTTGCCAATGAAGTGACCAGGGACACAGAAATGAAGGTGCAATTCTCAGCTTCACTACAACTTTGCAATCCTTAATGACAGGTTTCCTGGCTGTTAAATAAGCTGGTGTTTACCTTGAATTCCCTTTGCCTTTTATCACTATTGGGACTGTTGGCCCAACATTTGAAGAAGGTAATGTTGATTGGACATTTGGGCTGGTGGGACCCCAAGACAGCTACAGTATCAAGAGTGCTACTTCATGAAGTTCTAACTTCACTTTCCTCACTTCATAGGGGTATCACTTTGTGGAGCTTCATCTTTCAGCTGAAGTGAGTAGGTTTAACCCATGTTGATCTGTGTTTATCATTGCTTGGAATTTGTCTACGTGTCCACTGTTTGTTTGTTCAAATGCTGGCAGAAACCATGATGACCCCAACAGCATTTCAGGCTTGGCCACTTAAAGACATTGTGTAGAGGAGTTTTAATGACACATTCAAAATGTGTAAAATGAAAGTGCAATGGAAGCTGGAAATAAACTTTTCATCCACAAGACTAAGCTAGTTTATGATAAAATAGACTAGATATTTCAAGTAAGTAAGCAATGAGACTCTGATCCCAAATCACTCGTTTGTAGCCTTTGCAGACCAAGAGGCATTAACCTGAACTTCCCAAGCACCTAAAGGAGCTTTTCAGGTTGAAAAAAAGTAAGATATTATCTGAATAATTACATTAGCTGTATCTGCTTCACAAAGTAACATGTATTTATGGAAAACTTTAAAACATAGAATAGTTACCAACTATTATTCTAAAATACTGAAGCTCATTTTATTGTAAGACCTGTCAGAGGGTGCGTGTGTAAATTCCTCATGGTACTGTAAAAAACACAAATATAAGTAAATATAAGTTAGTCTAAGTCTTTTAAATGTATCTGGTGTACATTACCCAAAAAAACCCTCTCTCATTCCACTAGGGTGTTTGATTTAACAACAACAGAAATGAATCAGGGGTTACCCTGATAGTAGCTGAAAAATTATCTTACTGAACGTGTCTTCTTCACAGCTAGGAACCTGCTGGCGACTTGTATTTCTAACTGCCCATGCTGTTCGTAGTCATGTGGTATCACTGGACTATCTGCATCAATTATTTACAGAAATACTTTAAAAATTCTGTTTTAAATATATAAATTCTGTTTTCAATGGAATTGAACTGAAAGCAAAGGCAGCTAGCACCATATGCCTAGAGAAGCCTCCATGAGCTACTGGAAAGCACTTCTTGATTTACAGGCAGATTTTGGAAAGCCAAATGAATTGTTTATATAAAAGAATGTTTATATAAAGGCATTACTCTCCATAACTTCCTCTAACTGGACTATCCTTTCATTTATATCGTTTTCCATCAACTCATTTAGACTGATTAATCACATCTAAAAATAGTTTAGATTTACTTTATCTTTTTATACTCAAAATAACACCACAAAATGGATCATGCCTATGTGTAGTTGTCTGAGGAAACCTACTCTGTTATTTCAGCTCATTCCTTTTGGAGTCTGAAAATCACTGAGCCCCATATTAAGTTGCTATAAATTTACATTACTGTGAAAGTCAAGGAAGGTAAGGGCAAGAACCTGACCCCCAACCTACAGTGTAACAAAGATTACTCTTTAGGCTGTACAGAATGTCTCACCTTTGGATATCCTTTTAGAAACAGAGCATGACTGCAGTGCTGCTAATGGAATCATCCCAGATCTCTGTTGGTGCTACTTCAAATAAATCCAAGCTTCCTGTATTTTAACTTTTTTGCGTGTACTGGAGCAATTTTTCCATGTAGCAG